CCACTACCACTGGTAACGTACCACTAGACAGAAATCAGTACCACTGCAAAAAACATAAAAAAACAAGATCTGGAATCTGAAAAATCTCAGATCAGGAAAAAAATTAAGGAATGAGGAAAGGAGAAGGAAGGGGAGAGGTCGTTACCTCGCGGCGGCGGCAGAGGAGGACGGCGGGAGAGAGATGGCGGTGACAGGAGTTGGAGGGAGGAGAGAGGGCTGCGATGGTGGGAGGCGGAGGACGCGACGGCTGCGGCGGGAGGGAGAGATGGCGGCGGTGGCGACGGGAGGGAAAGACGACGACAGTGGCGACGGGAGGTGGCGGCGGCAGCGGCGGCGCCGACAACGGGAGGGAGAGACAGAGCAGTTAGGGTTCTCGGGAGAGGGAAGAGAGAGGGGAGAGAGGAAGAGTTTTTTTTTTTTTTTTGGAAATCAGATTATATAGAAAATGAGAAAGGATCCTGTGTGGTAAGTTTTTCTCTTCCAAAAATACCCTTCATTTAATCTAAACCATTAATTTGAAAAAGCAAGAAAGAAGGTGGATCTAATGGTTGCGAAAGAGGAAGTGAAAATCACAACCCCTATGAGGGTTGTGACGCTATCTAATCCCGATAAGAAAGGTAGATCAATGGTTGGAAGGTGGGTAACGAATCTCACAACCCCTTAGGGGAAGTAACGGTATCCCACTCCTTTTTATCAATTAGTTTGTTTTAGCTGCTAATCTATTTAAACCACTTGGAGAACCAATTATAATAGTAGAATAACTTATTTTCAGTAGTCATAGTCTTCATGGGATACTCTTGCTTGCCCTTTACTATTAGAAGCAATCGAAACAAGCCTCCGTCTAGGGATGTTAATCCAACCCGTAACCATAGGTATCCTATCCGACCGTAACCGGTCAATGAGGGTAATTACCCGCTTTGACGGGTTAAGGGGCGGGTACGGGTAATACCCGGTTTCAAAATAAAGGGTAGGGTACGGGTATGGTAATCGATAATACCCGCTCCGTTATACCCGCCCCGCTAACCAAAGGGTCAATTTCCCTTGAGAAATTTATTTTAGCTTGAGAAATTGAGTTTAGCTACCATTATTGATGATGAAGATGTGGACGATTATTGTGTTTGTGTGGATTGTAGAAGCAAGAACAATTATTATGTGTTTGCTGTTTTTATTTGTGTGGATTGTTAAACTAGAACAGTTACAAGTATTGAGAATTTTTAATTGCGTCGTCTCCGTCTCCGACAGGGGAATTCCTGGGCGCCATTATTTCTAGGGGAATTTCTCTAGAAAGAATTATTGGGCTCCATTATTCCATTCCCTAGAAAGAGAGAGAGAGAGATTTTCTGGTCGAAAAAAAAAATTCTGGCAACCATCGTCGACGAAGAAGAATTTCCCGACGACAATGCTAATTTTGTGATGTTTGTTGACATATTTTGTAATGTTTGTACGCTTTGTTATTTTGTAATGTTTGTCGGGTTTTTTTGTAATGTTTGTAAACTTTGTTATTTTTGTGCACCATGTTTGTAATATTTTTTATGTCTAAAAAACAACCTGGTTGACTTTTGGATGAAACTTCTCTATATAGGGATGGAGCTTCCAAAGTCAACCCGGGGGTTTTTTCCAGTTCGTATGGATTGTCGGTCTAGTTTGTCATTTTTGTCCACCATGTTCGTAATGTTAGTATGTCTAAAAAACACCCAGGTTGACTTTGGGAAGGAGCCCCTCTATATAGGGATGGAGCCTCCAAAGTCAACCTGGTTGTTTTTTCTTTTTGTATGGTTTGTTGGTCTAGTTTGTATTTTTTGTACAGTTCATATGTTTGTAATGTTTGTATGTTTTGTCGCTCTTGTTTGTATTGTTCGTATGTTTGTATGGTTTGTACTGATTGTAAGTCTGGTTTGTATACTTCATAATTTTCCATAATACCCAAACTACCCCTGTCATTAATTAAATAGGCCTTCCCACTTTTTAACCATAAGATTGCTATATCCATATCTAAGGGCCGGGAGGGGCTTAGTCAAGTGACTAAGCACCCCCTAGTCACTGTATACTCTCTCCAAGAAATGAAAACGGATAGAAAAACCTCATGGTGGGTTCAAAACTTTATATAAAAATACCCGTGAGCGGATAAATGACCATTTCTTGCCTTTCTGATCCCTCGTTTGTACACTGGATCAGCCGATCAGGGAGTGTGTTACAAATTTACAACTGACGTTTTCTTCTTTTTTATCGATGAATGAACTGACTTTTCTAAATGCTTGTTAATGAGATTCTTTTTAGGTATTATCTTCCAACTCGTGGATTTAGACGGTGACAACCATTTTCGCTTGTTGTTTTCTATTTGTAACATCTTAATTAGTTAAAATTCGACGGAATAGACTCATTGGTGATTATGATTTATGATGAATCCTTAGTACAACAACTCGAACCAAATCAAGACTCTATCCAAAAGTTAAAAATAAAACACACGCATGAGTTGAGGGGGAATATGTAGAAGTGGCCGGGCTTAAAAATGCCACGGTCCACGAAAAAATGTCAATCAGGCTATGGAAATGGAAGTATGATGGAGGAGACGGCCCTGGTGGTGGCCCAAGAAGAGAAAGAAACAAAGACAGAAAATCCGGGCCGATCGGATAGAAAATCAATTTGGTAAAGTTTTGAAGGTGGGCCATTGCTCGGCCCAATATAGTGAGGGAAGTGAGAACGAAGTCAGGCCGACCTGGTCTTCTACTCTTCTTCCTATTGTATCTTGATTATGACTTTCAACTCAGACTGTTGAGGAATCTAAATCTAATGATAAGAAAAATAGTCAGGCCGACTTGGTCTTCTTCCTATTTCTTCTACCTATTAAAGGAGAGTTTGGACGAATGATTTGAAAAATGAAGATTTGTGTCTAATTTCGCGATTTAAAAAAATGAAGGATATGTGATAAATTTGGTTCATTTGAAATTTGAGAAAATTGTTATTTGGATGTTAAATTTTGTGAAGGATGTGATTCCTTCTCTTGAATCTCACCAAATTACGTGGCGTTTTCAAATTTGTTAACCACGAATTTGATACACTTTTTTATGCACCCAATTACTGGATAGTTGAGTTAGTTGAATCTCACCAATTTTTAGTTGTGATTGTTGAGATAGCTGAATTGAGATTGTTTTGTCTCATATTTTGGATGATGTGACATACACAATCACACATATCAAACGTTGTATTCTACAGTGCATAAAATTCGACAATACATGTATAATATTATACATGCATTCACAACAATACATCTATTTAACAATCACAACTTTCAAACCACCTCTTAAACACAGGAATGAGCAACAATTTGTGCTAAGACAATCTAACATCCTATCTCGATAATTTGGGGCTAAAAGCGGCGTGACTTAAGAAATGAATAAGCACAAGTAAAAGTCCAATATAGTCCATTGGAGTAGTGGAAAGTAACATCATATAAGCCCATATTTGGTCCTAGAAAGATGGGTTGGCCTAATAGGTTGAGTGCGAGCAGGAAGAGGAGGCGCATAGCGAAAAATCTTTCCAAAGTAGTACGGATTGTCGGTGGTCCCCACAGAGCGTCTGATATTTGTCAGAAAGGCTGCCATGTTTATCGGGGCTCCTAGCCCGAGGAAGGTACGAAGCATTAAATGCATTTGCTGACGTAGGGTTGAAATGAAGGAGCCTGTCGAGGATTGAGTGAGTATAAATATTGTTGGTAGGTAGCATTTATGCAAATTGTGTTCTCTCATTGAACTAGAGTTTGACAATTCTCTCTCTAGAATTAGCTCTAACTTGATTGTCGGAGAATTAATGAGCCTGTGCCCCCTCTGTGAGTCTGTGTGCAGGTGAGGTGCCTTGGTGTGATAAGAAGTTCGTGGGAGCGTGAAGAAGTTGGAGTCGAAGTATACGAGCACAGACACATGCACTTTTTGGAACCGGTGTTTTACATAAATATTTCTTTTTTTGCAATGTTTTCTATCAAAATGATTTTGAGGATATTTTATAGTCGAAATATTTTTGGTGGAAACTATTTCACTACAACAGTGACATAAAAATATTATTATCAGGCTAAATTACACGTTTGGTCACTCAAATTACATAAAATTTTCACATTTGCCACCTGAATTATTTTTCTTTCTTATTAGCGACTAATTTTACGATTTGTTTCACCATTAGTCACCCCGTCAGTCTTTGTTAGACTCTGTTAAAGTCATTAGATTTTTGATGACATAACAAACAGAAGTGCTGACTGGATGGTTAACTTATGATATGTCAAAAATAAAAAAAATAGACAAAAATAAGCAGATGAGCAACTCTTTCCCCTCCCTCGTCTTCTTCGCAGAAGAAGATGAAGAAGACGAGTGAGGGAAAGGGTCACTCCTCTGTCCATTTTTGTTTTTCCCCCCTAATTTACATGTTATTAACTTAACGGTCTAGTCAGCATTCCTATTTGACACATCATAAAAAATCTGATAATATTAACGGTGTTTGACGAAGACTGACGACTTGTGACTAACGATGAAACAAGCCGTAACGTTAGTGGCTAAAAAAAATAAAATTAACCCGAGCGACAAACATAAAATATTTATATAATTTGAGGGACTAAACATGTAATTTAGCCATTGTTATCGTTTGGACAAAATATCTAATAACCTAGTACTTGAATATTTTTTTAAAAGAATCCTGGAACATTGTGTTTTTTTTTTGTTTTGTTTTGGCAATGATGACTTATTTTAATATTGTATCCTATCAAGATAAAAAGCGGTGGATGCAGGCCACAGTTTAGACCAAAACCACATCCCAATATTAATCATTATAATTTTATGGTTAGATGGCTTCAGTTTTATCCAAAACTTTATAAATAAATAAACAAAAACCTTTTTATCCGAAACAGTTCCACCGCGGGAAAACCAAAACCAATCCGCTATTTTGTTTACCGCGGCCCACTTTCTCCGCCACTATAAAATCCCCATTTTCCCTCCCTTCACCACACTGTCTCTCTCATAATCTGTCAAAACAAGAGACGTAAGAGAAACAGCTTACTCCTTCCTCCATCCCCACCGCCCCGCTACTGCCACCTTACACACTCTAGAAGCTTTAAGCACGCACCAGACCTCGAATTTGCGATCATGGCGACCCCGAAGCTCGGACGAATGCCCAGCATGAGGGAGCGCATGGAGGACACTCTCTCCGCTCACCGCAATCAGCTCGTTTCTCTGCTCTCCAGGTTCCTATTTCAAAATTTTCCCTTCTTCCCCCCGCTGTGCTTTGCTTTTTTTTTCCCCCTCTCTCTATCGTATCTTTCTGCTTGGTTCCCGAGAAAATCCGGACAGGATGATTGATTTTACTTGCGACTGATCTTGCTATTAGAACAGAGTAGCGTGTACACTTTCCGGAGAGAGAGAGAGAGTGAGAGCAATTTGTTTCCTCTTTTGGGAAATGAGTTGAACATGGCGGTTTCCTTTGTTTGTCTGTGTGAAGGTACGTGGATCAAGGGAAAGGGATTCTGCAACCGCATAACCTGGTCGACGAGCTCGATAACATCGTCTGCGACCCGGAAGCCAGGGAGACGCTGCGGAATGGCCCTTTCAGCGAAGTCCTCAAAACTGCGCAGGTATGATGATGAACTCGAAGAGTTGTAGTTTTTGAAATTAAGCAATGGTTAGTCCAATAGTCCTAATAATTCAGATTTTTGGGAGAGATTTAATGGTGGATGATCAGGTTACTAGTCACTAACACTTTGGGGGAGATTTAATTGCGGATAAGTTTGAACAGGTTCGGATATCATGTGTTTAATGGAGGTCATCAAGATTCCAATACAAGACCTCTCGGTCTTTGATATCATGTCATGAACTAGCTAGTCACAATAACTTAAGTTGTTAGGAGATGTTTACTTGTGAATCATACACCAGTTGTTGGTGCTTTGAATTTGCTGATGTGTCTGGGTTTTGATGAATTGTTGTTTATGTGCTTCACAGGAAGCCATAGTTCTGCCTCCATTCGTGGCGATTGCAATTCGGCCGAGGCCCGGTGTTTGGGAATATGTGCGGGTTAATGTTCATGAGCTCAGTGTGGATCAGTTGACCGTCTCCGAGTACCTTCGGTTCAAAGAAGAATTGGTGGACGGGCAGTAAGCTTTTCTTCTTGTTTGCTACTATTGCTTCATGTCTCGTTATTGCTCCTTCTCATGGTTGTGCATGTCAGGGCGAATGATCCTTATGTTCTGGAGCTGGATTTGGAGCCGTTCAACGCTAGCTTCCCTAGACCCACCCGTTCTTCATCGATTGGGAATGGGGTTCAGTTCCTTAATCGTCACCTCTCTTCAATCATGTTCCGTAACAAGGAATCGCTGGAGCCACTGCTCGAATTCCTGCGGTCGCACTCGTATAAAGGACACGTACGTTTTGCTGGTAATCAGAGTGGTAATGTATATTGTGTATCATCACTGTGGAAATGATGAATTCAATGGCTTATGGATGTTGCCTGCAGGCCCTTATGTTGAATGATAGGATTCATAGTGTATCGAGGCTTCAATCTGCGCTTGCTAAGGCAGAAGATTACATCTCCAAGCTCCCACCTGACACGCCATACCATGAGTTTGAATATGCGTAAAGCTCTTTGTTAAATCATATGATCTTTATGAGTTGGAGAATTGCTGATACATTTGTAGGCAAGTTCGAGTGACTGAGATGCTGTTCCTGCTTTTCCCTTTGGTTTCTGTCCCTTTCCCAGGATACAGGGAATGGGGTTTGAGCGAGGTTGGGGTGACACTGCGGAGCGAACAATGGAGATGATGCATCTTCTGTCGGACATCTTGCAGGCTCCTGATCCCGCAAGTTTAGAGACATTCCTGGGAAGAGTACCCATGGTGTTCAATGTGGTTATCTTGTCTCCACACGGATACTTTGGCCAAGCTAATGTTTTAGGGATGCCAGACACAGGTGGTCAGGTATCGAACCAAATTTGATCATCCCCATTGACTAGCTACCACTACGATTCGACGGCTTAGGAATTCATTATCTTCTGGATATGGCTGCAGATTGTCTATATTTTGGATCAAGTTCGTGCGTTGGAGAGTGAAATGCTTCTCAGGATAAAGAAGCAAGGACTTGATTTCAAGCCTAGGATTCTGATTGTAAGATTTTTTTGTTCTAAACTAATGCTTCAATCTACATCGTTTTGGAGTGAAAGTCCCCTTATCTTTTGGTGTCATTGGTCAACTCTTTTAGGTGACCAGGTTGATACCTGATGCAAAAGGTACAACGTGTAATCAGCATATGGAAAGAATCAGTGGAACGGACTATACTCATATCCTCAGAGTGCCCTTCAGATCGGAGAATGGTATTCTTCGTAAATGGATCTCCAGGTTCGACGTGTGGCCATACTTGGAGACCTTTGCTGAGGTACATACAACTCTTGCCTGCTATGCAATATCAGAAATGATCAACGACCCAAATATTGTTTTTTTGCATCTGCTCGCTCTGAACGCTGTTAATTTCTTTGGCTAGGATGCGGCCAGTGAAATTGTGGCAGAGTTGCAGGCAATTCCAGATTTCATCATTGGTAACTACAGTGATGGCAATCTTGTTGCGTCTTTGTTGGCTTACAAAATGGGCGTTACACAGGTTGGTGTTATGTTTCTCTTACCAAGTAGTTATCGATCATGGTTCCTTACTTGAAAGGAGTTATGCCTTACTCTGTCAAATTACTGGTACAGTGCACCATCGCCCATGCATTGGAGAAAACAAAATACCCGAATTCAGATCTCTACTGGAAAAAGTTCGATGAGAAATACCACTTCTCCTGTCAATTCACCGCTGATCTTTTAGCCATGAACAATGCAGACTTCATCATTACCAGCACATACCAAGAGATTGCAGGAACGTAAGTATCGACCTCTTGTTTTGCCGTAGTTCAAGTTGCTTTTGAAGTTCCAGAGGTAGTTAGAGTGTAAGTGGTAAAATAAGGTATGTAAGTCTGCCCAAGATGGTTGCTCTAACTTGTGTACTTTAACTACCAGGAAGAACACTGTGGGACAATACGAAAGCCACACTGCATTCACCCTTCCTGGATTGTACAGGGTTGTTCATGGTATCGATGTCTTCGATCCCAAGTTCAACATTGTCTCGCCTGGAGCTGACATGACGATCTACTTCCCATACTTTGAAAAGAAGAAAAGACTCACAGCACTGCACGTACCAATAGAGAAGATGCTGTTCGATCCAGAGCAAACTGACGAGTGCATGTAAGTTATCTGATGATGCTTTGCTTCCACATTTGCTGTGGCAGTGGAGGAATGAATGACTGCTGTCAGAACATTTTCTTAGTGAAGTATTTGTTTGTTGCTGTTGTTACTGCAGTGGTACTTTAGACGATCGGTCGAAGCCCATACTCTTTTCCATGGCGAGGCTAGACCGTGTGAAGAACATAACTGGATTGGTCGAGTGCTATGGGAAGAACACCAAACTGAGGGAGCTGGTGAACCTCGTTGTGGTTGCTGGTTTCATCGATGCCAAGAAGTCGAAAGACAGGGAAGAGATCGATGAAATCGTAAAAATGCATGATCTGATGAGCAAGTACAGCTTGAAAGGACAGTTCCGTTGGATCACATCTCAGACAAATAGAGCTAGAAATGGGGAGCTGTACCGATATGTAGCAGACACCAGGGGAGCTTTCGTCCAGGTACTCCTTATGCCATGGCAATGGCATGGTGTCTTCTCTCTTCTGTTTCTGTAGAATTCTGATAATAAAAAAAGTGCAAAAATTGAATTGGGGCGTTCCGAGAATCGAACTCGGGACCTCTCGCACCCAAAGCGAGAATCATACCACTAGACCAAACGCCCACTTGCTCTGCATAAAACGTGATTTACCGCTAATCATAGTGTGATTAACGGATCCAAAACTTGATGACCAGCAGCTCATGTTACGGTCAGCTTATAAATTTCATTGGTGCTGCAGCCCGCTTTCTATGAAGCTTTCGGCCTTACAGTTGTGGAGGCAATGACTTGCGCCCTCCCAACTTTTGCCACTGTCCATGGCGGTCCTGCAGAGATCATCGAGCATGGCGTGTCCGGCTTCCACATCGATCCGTATCACCCTGATCAGACTGCTGAACAAATGGCGGATTTCTTTCAACGATGCAAGGAGGATCCTAGCTGCTGGAACAAAATCTCCGACGGAGGACTCCAGCGAATTTACGAGAGGTCTGTTTGTTACTCTTACGTAATGAGGTTGCATTCATATGACATGCTGCCATCTATTTGCACTGAATCTATGGAATGGCTTTATCACGAATGATTTAAATGGTGCCTGTGAAATGAAAGGTACACTTGGAAGATCTACTCTGAAAGGCTGATGACGCTTGCTGGCGTATATGGTTTCTGGAAGCATGTATCCAAGCTCGAACGCCGAGAGACCAGAAGATACCTGGAGATGTTCTACATTCTCAAGTTCCGCGATCTGGTGAGTGCTCCTGTTCTGACTATATGCATGCTCCCCTGTTATGTTTTTAACATTCCCGTGTTCTAACCATATGCTTGTGTCCGGATAACATTGTTGGAATTTAGACCTTAAACGAGTACTAGAGGCTCTCTATTGAGCAACAGCGTAAACCAACGCTATAAAAGACACTCCGTGGGAGCCAGTAGGTCGATGAACATCAAATGATCGTAATTTTATTTAACCAAGAATTTGGCCGTCTAATGGTTTGCCTGTTCTTTCCAGATGAAGACTGTTCCGTTGGTGACCGATGAGCATCATTAGGCTACACGCTTTGGGAGAGGTTAAAAGAGCATCCATGACCAGCAGGCTGCTGCTAATACTAAGAAATAATAGTCTTTGGGTCGATGCTTCTTCTCCCATTTCAATAGCTATAGCTAAGCATACGTGCCTTTGCGTCGGTGAAATAAATCTGCGAGACAAGTCGCAGTTATATGTTAAGGATAACCACGGCAATAGTTTCCTTATATGTACATATTACTACGCGTCTGTATCATGGCCATGGGATCGAATGTGTGTTGTTCGAAGTTCATCGAACACTATGTATAGTGTACTATGTAGCATGAAGCTTAAGGTTTGAGTAAATTCTTTCCTTAGTAACTTCTGTTGTCAACGGAGAGAAAGAAGGGCAATGAGCAACAAGATAGGTGGGAATCCTGCTTCCAAGCACAGACGTTCTGAATCCTCAAAGCATTCATGGATGTATCTTCTCCGAACAACAACTCATAATGGACGGAACAAAGAGCTGAAGAAAATGCTGGAGGAGAATGCAAAGTAGAGAGCAAGATCAATAACTATCTCTATTTACCAAAACTAGTACCCACACAGAAACTCCATAGAAATCTGGAAAAAGATGCAAGGAAAACACCATCTTTGAGTGAGGTTCTGGAGAAATCTCACTAACAAAAGGAACAAGGAAACCAAACAGAGCAGACGGAGGGGAAAAACGGGCTGCTGCCTGGAGAGGTTTCAGAGAGAGAGAGAGAGAGAGAGAGAGATTGGGAAGTCTTTCAAGAAGAAAATGGCCAAGCAAAACCAAATATTCAAACAAGATTCCAGTTCAGCCCAAACAACAGAAACCATGGTATGCCTGAAACTAAATTCTGTACCAACAGAGTATTGGAGCAACCAAAGATCCCAAAATTCTCCAGTTTCCAGGTCTATGTTCTACCTTGGCAAATGAAACTTCCATTGAAGGTCAATATGAGCATTGGGGAGGTTCATTGTGGTTTGGCGAAAAGGCTCTGTAGCAGTGTTGGCATAAGCCGCTAATAGTAACCCTTCTTATTACTGAATCCGTGTCAAATCATGAGAAATAAAACATACCAAAACCATCCTTCAAGCCTACAAAATATGGCAGTACGAAATGAATAACTAACAGTAGGCGCCTTCAAATCATTGAAACATTTCCCTCCTACACATTACTGGTCTAAGTTCAGCACTGTTCTACAAACAGAAGTTTGCAACGCGCCATATCAGCTAAAGAAGCTACAAGATTGGAAGAAGGAAAATAAGCTCTCAGGAGAGGAAGTCGTATACCTTTTCCCTCAATGGGGCTATATGCTGTTCATTCCATCACAACTTTGGCACCAATAGCTTTCATCTTCTCGATTATCTTCTCGGCATCTTCCTTCGACACACCTGCCTTCAACACTGCTGGCGTCTTCTCCACCAAATCCTTGGCTTCCTTAAGACCAAGATCAGTAAAACTCCTCACCTCCTTGATTATCTTAATCTTAGAAGCAGCTTCATACGATTCCAATTTCAATTCGAAAACCGTCTTCTCTGGTTTCTTTTCCTCCTTGGCAGCTGCTCCAGTTGACCCCTTAATTCCCATCCCAGCCAGTCCAGCTGCTGTTCCACCCTTTATTACTCCCACAGTCGGCGATTCTTTCATTCCTTTCCTTTTCATTATAATCGAACCCAGCTCCGCGACTTCTGCCAATGTCAGCGAGGCAATTTCATCAACGAGCCTGAACACGCGCTCGGTGGGAGGGCTACGGTGCTCCGTGGGGTCAAAAGTTGCAGGATCATAGTCAGCTGGCAGCCTCCTTTGATCGATTTCTACTTCTTCCTCTTCATCCTCTTCTTTCCTAGCAGCTTGAGCAAAGCTCCGTGGCAATACACCGTTGATGCTTGCTCGACTCAAAGCAGGAAGGTGTGATTTTGCACACAACCCATTTGCCAGGTGATGCCTTAATCTCACAATCAAACTCATCTCCGCCAAAAGCTTTCTCTATTGCAGCCTATAACTTTCCCTGGAACCTAAAAAGATTCCATCTCTCAAGCTATTGCCCAAGCGAATAAACCCTGAAAGGAAGACGAAAAAATTGAAGAAACACAGTGGATACGTGATGTGCAACCACAGCACAACCATTGAAGGGAAAACAAAAAACGTTCATTTGCGGCTCGAAAGCGCTTTTTAACTGAGCAGCAAACCAGAAACCATCAGCATTCACAGAGGATGATAAGCCTAAGATTTTAACAGTCTTATTAGCCCATTTCAGCCACGAAAACCGAGCAGTGGCTAGGCACCTAGAAAGCTCCATACTTCTCGCTTGAAGATCGCGCAGTCGGTAACATTTCACAACTTACCTATCGCGATATTTCTGATTCCTTAGAAAAAAAATCAGTTCTTCCAACAAAGAATACACTCATCCTACAAGAGAGATAGAGAGAGAAGAAGAAGGGGGTAACCTGTTGCCCGTAAATGAATTGCCGACCGCTGCGTTCCTCAGGGAGGCGGACGGGAGATGGCGACGGCGGTGAGCGAGGGAGGGACAGAGGTGCGTCGAAGAACGATAGAAAGAAGGAGAGGAACGGTTGGGTAGTGGGCTGGGCCTGGGACTAGGACAAGTTGGGCCTGCGATTGGTTTTTCTTGTTTAAAACCGGTTCGAGACGACTTGTTAACCTCCCCACCGAAAAGCAAACCAGATCATGGGATAAACGATTCTGGTTGTAACCGAAGCAAATTATGGTTTATCTGAATAATCGTGACAGAACTTCCAACTCTAGTTAACTGTGATGAGATATGATTCTGTGACGTGGCATGAAGATAATTTTTTTTTACCTTGAATAAAAAATTATTTACTTCATGTTCATATTCGAAAACACTCTCAAATAAATTATCGAATGACTATATTTGTTAAACATATTAAATTTTTTAGCTATTTATGATATTTTGAATAATTTTGGCTATTTTTGTCCACGATTAACGACTTCAAATGTTTAGCTATTTTTGGGTTTTAATCCAATTTCTAATTTATATACAAACCACATTTTCCCACTATTTACAACTTCATTCGCTAGATCGTAAATTTTGTTGAGTGAGGAATGAAAATTAGGATGCACTAACACAAAGGAAAATTGACTATCTTCTTCTTCCGTTTCTCTTTTGTGATTGTTTTCCAGTTTCGTGTGATATAAGAAACGATTCTTATTCATTTTGCCATATTCATGCTGTTAAACATCAATTCCACGAAATCAAGTGTTCGATTCGTCCCGGATACCATACACCAAAGGCATCCGAAAACACCCCCCATTTGAGCTGCACAACTTGACTATTTACATATACACCAAGGTACACACACTACATGGCTGGGGAAGACTAAGAAATTAGAGCTTGTTCAGAAACATAGCTCAAGTGGTATGCATTGGTATATTTTCAGATGTATTGCTTATTCGGGCACGAAAAAAAGGAACCCTTGCTCAACTGATTGTTTCGGACTTAGACTGCTGGTCCATCCCAGATTGATGCTGGTCCATCCCAGATTGATTACACACAAACAGAAGGGCAATGCATTCCAGGTCTCGAGAGTATATCACTCGATTAGACTCGGAAGAAGATGCCTCAGAAGGGCAAAAACGGCAGCAGACTCCATTAATCTAAAGAAAATACCCCACTGCAGTACCTGCAATGAAAATGGAACAACAAAGAGCGATCAGTCCCAAAGTGGAAAGTGTAGAGCTTTAGCTTTTAGCTTCCAACTTTTCAGTTTCAGAAGATCGGGTTAGTGGTAGAGAACACAATCTCGAGCCAACTATTAGGGGGAGCTAATAATGGGCTCCAATGTAGAAAATATGTTATGCGTCGAACGCGAACCTGTTGCTGAACTTCTCCACAGCATCAGAGGCATACAGAAGCGTTTCGCTGGCTTTTTCGAGAACCATATAAAGTTCCTTCCCTCTTGATGTCCGTGCTATAACCCAGGCACCATTTTTGGCTCTTACACATATTTCCAATTCTTTGTCAGAATTCACCTCACTGGTGCTGCATTTTGCTCTCTTCTCCAAATTCACCTCTTCTCTCAGCTTGCTCATGGCAAGCAAAGAATCCTGTTGACACAAAGGCAGGAAGTTACTTCAGTGTAGATACTAGAAGCAGATTCATATAGTGTACGACACGCATATCTTAGCATTTACCATATAAAGATATATGTATGAATTGGAAAACAAACCATTCCATGATTTAGTACAGCAATTTGCCATCACCCCAGACTGATACAACATTGACAGGATGCTCATCCCTTACAATCACCAGTAGACCAAAGCAGTTCATTGAAGTGTCATAATGAAAGTGTGCATAACCTAACATAAACTTACAGTTCCAACAAGCCAAAACATCACAGATGCTGAATGAAATATATCGATCTTTAATATCCAAGAATAAAGCTTTTCTAGTACTTCCCAAATTTGGTTATTTAAAATTATAGCTTCCATGCCCGTTTTTTTCAAACATAACCTAAGCCTTTTTTCAGAGAGAATATCTCCACCTTTTATAAGTACAAACTATCTCTTGCACTTGCCCTGTTTTGTGCTTCGCCATCAGTAACAAGATAGTTTGGACCATTCTGGCCTTTGTGATACTAGCAAATAACCAAAAAAAATTAAAAAAAAAATTCACTTTAACAATTCATTTTTGCATACTATTAGACAGTAGCAGTTATTCAGGCTTTGCGGTGTCTCAGATGTTATAGCATTAGGATTTTGTAATGTTATCATCAAAATCTTTCTGAAAATGTTAAGAGACTAGACAAGCTGAAATCCATAACTAAGTTTAAAACATAATTTAGAACTCATCCACATTTGAGGTGTCTTAAGATAGACATGGCATCCACTATTACAGAAACATCCAGATAATTAAATTAAGCCATGCATCATTTTTCTGAATGATGTTATTTTCTGTATAAATTCTGATACGAAAGTTCACATTATTCGTAAACAAGGTGATGCAAAAGACAACACAGCGCCAAATCAGAACTCTAGTCAAAATGCCTGCCAACAGTCAATGAGAAACTACCTTCCAAACATCTGAATGTTGGTAGTTCTTACCTTGGCTAGAGTCATGACCTTTGCTGGAGGAGAAGCCCTGGATACTCTTTCATCATCAACCAGTAAGTAACGGTAGCCACTAACATGATAAGCATTTTCTCCACCCCATCCCTTTGATAATTTCTCCTCGACCCTCAACATTTTAAGTGAAGCCTAGTGCATTCAACAAGAAAGAGAATGAGCCAGACCCAGACCCAGACAACATAATTACTTACATATATAAAGTTGTGGCTGCATAACAAGACAGCTAGAAGCCTAAAAATGAGAATATAACAAATATTGGTTTTAGAAATCAGAATACTGAAGGGTTACTTATGGCAGCATTCACCAAAAGTTAAGGTTCAAAAAGAAGCCTTAATAGATAGAAGTAGACAGTAAATTCCCCTGTCACGTTATTGTCTATGAGGGTTTGTCCTACTCATCTGCATCTTAAAATGAATCGAAATATAGCAAAATATGCAGCATCTTCATCTTTTTGCCATTATCGGTAATGAAGGTGCAGTGACATGGAATATAAAAATGCAATACAGAGCATTTTAGAAGACTTGAAGTTATTTATTTTCCTTGCCCCAAGGTAAGAACCTAAGCCAGGGATACTTGAAGGCTTCAAGCTACCTGTAATCAGTCAGGTATTTGCAAAGGAACCAAACCTAAACAACATAGCCACCAGCAGGCGGGGATGCGTCTTATGACACATTATTACCGGAACGATTTACAATGTGCTCGATAGGCCCCAATGTAAAGGATGCAGAAGTTTTTAAGAGCAGAACTAAGTTGCTACTTCCAGGAAAGGGGAAAAATAGAACAAAAATTAAAATAATATGAAGAGAATGGAAGTGGAAAAGTAAAATGAAGAGAACAGTATATTTACGGGAACAGAAAGGACACACACATTTTCCAAGACTTGCTGCTTCACGAGTGAAAGTCCTTGCTCGCCGTTGAGAATGGAGGAAACAGGAACCAGAAGGATTATGGTCAGTCTTTTATATTGATAGGCACACAGGTACATCCTTTCCTCAGTCAGCTGGAGGTAAACTATTGGGGTGACAGAAGTTTGACTACCATTATCAGCTCCCCAAATATCAGAAGCAAGAAAACCATCGTTTCCCCTAAACCACCTATTATGATGCAATGGTCTTTTTACTTGACAATTGTTGTCTTGGTCCAGTGAAGTATCACGTGAGCGATATATGTTATCTGAAACAGACCCAGAGTTGGTAATAGTAGACAACGCGGGAACTTGAGATCCTGCATTAGTTCTTTGTAAATAAGACCAGGAAGTTGCTCCGGATGACAAAGCGTGGGGAGTCAACCTTAGAACAGCATAAGTAAACAAACTTATGGTGTCATCCTGAAAAGCACAGGTTCAATAACAGAATTAGCAGTCATTTTGACAGATGCACCATGCAATTTCATAGTCTCTTTATATCTTTTATATCTCATGTCAATTACTATTCTGCTGGTGATAGTAAATTAAATACATATAATTCAGCAAAGAACACTACAGAACATCCAGATTAAATAAGCTGTAGAAGTTGAACCGTACGGGAGAAAGTGTGGTTGAGACAAGGAGGTCCTGGAACAAAACCAGAGAGTAGCAAGATGTAGTCCCAGCAGAACATTCTAGTACCTTGACAAGGGACTGCAATTATAACAAAGTGATCATCATTGACTCACCCAATTATGAGTCCATGCAGCAGCCACAGTATGGATAAAAATTTCAAACAGATAAAACCAAACTTCCTGAAGTTGCGAAGATGAGACAAACAGAATGCAAAGAGAGATCACGTGAGCAATCACGAGCTTGTCCAAGTACGAGGAGCCTGTTAAGTAGTCTTGCTTTATTCATGGATGAGGGTTGGTGGTCAACATAGAGAGGCCAAGAATCATGGACTGGGGAGTAAGAGTTCTGTATATATTGTTGAAGTTGGTGTTTTTTATTTTTTAAGATGTCAGTTTCCAGTGAATTGGTTTTTACAAGGAAAAAATCTGCTATTGTATATAAGCAAGCATCCATCTGAAAAAGATGCATGCGGAAAGGGGTAAAGAGGTCATAAGGAAAGGAAATGAGACAAGTTCAGCAGACCCCAACCGTCCATATAAGTTTAGTTAGCAAATTAATTGGTTCCATCTGATCTGGTTTTGGTATTTGAGTTATATAAGAGCACCTCAAGAGATTTTCAGAAATTGAACCTGGACTTCAATTGCAGCTTCCCTTCCAACAGTAAGCATTTGAACAGTTCCACGCTCCATTAAACAGTCATGAAATGATGGTAGTTGGAGCTTCTTCCCAATTAGAAAATCTGCCCAAAAGTTACAGGTAAGATTCAAGTCCGCAACTTCAGCAATTGTTTGGCAGATCAAAACTGTTGAAGCAAATTTTGATACAGCAACTTGAGAATTACCCCAGCAGCAGTTACACAATAGAGACTGCTTTTGGTATGCTGCAATTAGTGACATGAGATGAATAGCATACTAGAACAAAATCGTAGGGCCTACAGAATTCTGCATGCAATGAAATAGTATAAAGGCTTACCACTAAGATAATCCGTGATGAAAGGATACAAATGAGATCGGATTAAGCCTCCACTAGTTTCCTTCTCAAGCATCGATCTCATTGTTCCATGGAACAATACAAAAAGAGAGTGAACTTCTTTGAGAACCTTTCGTAATGCATCAACCTGACATGCTGCTTTTGATTCCTTACTTTTCTCCACTACCTACACCAAGATCAAATACTACCCAGGATGAACAATCAATCACACATAATTTAACAAAGAGATGAATCACACCATGTTCACCTAATATGATAGACAAGTACACAATAAGAATGTTGAAGGTACATTCGAGAAACTAGAGTAGGATAAACATTTTGCACGTTGAACTAGGACAACCAGTACAAAAGCCTTCTACATGAAGAGAAAGCTTCATATAGATTAAAGAATAGAAGACAGTTACTGATGCTCAACTTGGAGGAGAAACACGATATTAAGACATATTCCATGCTCTTTATGATCAAGAGTCAGAACACAAATCCACTTCAATAAACACGCAGGAAAGAACACTAAACTGATTAAACATAATGAAAAGAAGACTCAGGTGTTGAACGTGGAAACCAACTCAATTCAGTTAAGATCCCAAAGCAGATAGGCCATGTTTCGTTCATGCTTCTAATGGATTTCTAGGACATTGAAACATTAATACAGAAAGTAGAAAGCCTCATGAAATGGGATTGCAGAAGAATCATTGCACTCCAAAATCAAAGACAAGAACATGTGTCAAATTTAGAAACTATGGAAACAGGACATGGATCTTTGGCAAAGACATAGAAACAAAGCGATCTAGGCAGTATCAGCTCTCCGCTTTAGGAAAAGCCATGGGGTCACTATAAGAGAGATAACATACCATCACCATCCAGATGTCCGATTCAGCTTCAAAAAAGACATGGGAGTGCCTCTCTGCTTCTATCACCTCACAAGCCGCATCTGGAGAGAATATCCTGCATAAAGATCATCACTTTCAAAAAACAAAACCCCCACAAAGGAACTTGACAAATAATCAAATCAATCAGCTGATTGTGAATAAGTAATTAGATATTTATGGCATGTTATGAGTAACAATATGGTTTAGTCATTCTTTAAATGGTAAAGTAGGCACGACTGGGAAGAACGGACTAAAACTTCGCGTGTACAAGGAGTACTTAGTCTTATCCAGAACTTCAATTATGTTCCATTTACTCATGAATACGAAATTGAAGACCATAGGTGCCCAACAACACTTATCGTTTGGAATTTAATTATAATGCTTTTAGCATTCTTTAAAGCAAAGGGAACCTATTTAAAATATTTTATTTATAGATTGCTAACCACAACAGGTAAAAAGGAAATTGCTGGCAATCATCAAGCTTTCAACATAACCAAATGATTCTCCCTTCCGCTCTTTGCCACGTCATTAGTATGCATTTCATAATTTGAACCCTATAGCTACTAACCTTGTAAAAGTTATGAGCCCTTCGCTGAGTCCTATCACAGAAAGCTGGGTTGCAAAAGGCAAATCCGCAGGAAAGAAAAATAAAATCTTGTCGAGCTCCTGCCCTTCCTGTTGTCCTCTTCTCAAATCAAATATGCAAAGTTGCATACCTTCACTGGCAGTATTAACAGATGCCATACCCATAGTTTCCTCTAATTCTAAACCTGATGAGCAGCAGAAAGGTGATCGATATCAGATAAACTATCATATGACTGAAGCCAATATGGTAAGGTAAATGTTGACTGGTAGTGATTCTGAAGCAAAAAGGTCACAAAATATATTATTGTTTAAGAACTTGCTATATATAAACAAACTCATCAGCCTCATTATCCGCAACAAGCCCTTCACTCACACCAGAAAGGAATCTAGTCATCCAGCTTCAAACAATTTTGGGAATGCATCAAAGGGGTGGACAGAATCTTATGCAATGCTGGTATCTCCCTCATGCTGTAAACGTGACAGGAGGCAGGAAAGGGGGCACCCACATCATCTATGCAGGTAGCCGGCACCAGCCAGTATAATGACCCTTGTTAATGTAAAGAATACTGGGGTTTCTAGACTCAAACATTAGTTAAGGTATGTGCGCATCATATGAAAGTTGTAGTATTATGTATCAATTAAGGTTGATTCAGAAACCGTATATCTGCCTCCCCATCAGGGGGGAACACACACTACGAGTTTGGAACTTGGCTCCAATGAAAGGGTACTATCCCCTATACCAATGGAGTGAATCCCAACTTCTCCAAAACTGGAGATATCTCCCTAAAAACGAAGAGGATAGAGATGTACAAACGATTTCCATTTCAGAATAAAGCATTGACAATTTACACTCTCAACAGCATGCCTTGTGAAAATCCAAGGTCCTATTCCATAAAGGTTCAGTTTATTCAAAACAAGTACCAAGCAAGCAATACATTATATCCCCATTTCCCAGATCATAAATGTTATTTTTTTATAACTCGCCAAGACTCGAAGCTCATATACCCCTGCAGCGGAAAGATGGTAAATCTAAAGCTAGGACCAGAACTGAACAAACCAATCCTTCAAAGCATTACCGAAGAAGAATCATTGCCCCAACAGTAATTGATACGAATTGAACTATTCAGCCTTGGTGCTATGCTTAGGAGGAGACACTAGTAATATTCTGGTGAACTGCGAGCGAGCAATGTGTAATGTCATTCAACAATCCATTAGCCTAAATATCACTTCATTGAAAACTCATTATGATTGAACTGCATCCGATTGCAGGGCACTGACGAGGCTATCAAGCTTTGGAGCTACTTCTGCAATAACTTATTCTCACCGGAAGAACTTTCCGAATCAAAACTCGGGGCAAGCACTACTAATCTCTCTTTTTTTTTTTTTGTAGAAGACAGACGCCAAGGCGACCACTAATCTCTGTATTTATGCATGTAATAACACAAAATTTTCATCAAAAAGGATATAATAACACAAAAGAGAGGCCAAAGTCCAGGGAATTATCATGGAAGAGAACGCGTAACTAGAAAGGGAAGGGGATCGCCAAACTGGTAATGAACCTTGAGAAGGCCGTTTCGTTGGGCGATCTTAGAATTCAGCTGTCGAAAACAGCTATTAGGTTTTCTCGAGATGGAAATTCTGAGGTGCCGTTATCGATCTTTTTCTTCTCTCCTCGCTATCTCTGGTGTTTTTTTATCCGTAGTCGGAAACTGGACTGTAACACCGCCGGGGTGCAAAAGAATGGCGGGCACGATTGGAAATGGGGAGGAGAAATAGCCTTTTGGGACAGGAGGAGGGTTTGGAATAATTGTTCAAATGATACTATAACTTTGGTACGTACACAAAATGGTGATATCTCTTTTATGTTTTGCCAAAATGGTATCGTAATTTTGGTATTTAGTTGCCTTCTTCTCGCCTTTCTGAGAGGAGTCAAATTAACTAACGACTCGCCGGTGGGAGACGATGGAAACAGGGAGAGTGACAGTGGAAAGAGTCGGAGGGAAATCGACGGTGACAAGATCCTTCTCAAAGTATCCTCTCAAATTTATCCTTCCCAATAAGGTTTCCCTTCATCTCAATCTTCTTCCAATTTGCTCGCTGACCAACCCACCTGCAACGATCCGTTTTGGGGGTTTTCTTTTCATGATCTGTTGTTCTGCTCTTTTTGTTGATGTTGGATTTGGCTCAGGTGGGTTCTTCAGGGACCGATGCTGTGTGGATTTACGCACTTACCTATGGTGGCGGTATTGTTTCTGTACGCTGCTGCTTCTCTTAACTCTGTATGTTACTTTCTCCCACTTGGGTTCTGCTTACAGAAGAACAAAAAGTTTGAAGCTTTTTCTGACGAGGGTTTGATAATATGGCTTAATTGGTGAAGGGTGACCGTATATCTTGTGAATTTTTCGTTGGAAATGGCTGCACAGCTGTGTTAACCACCCAAGCATCCACCAAGGTTGGTAAAGAGTGTAATGCTTTTGGTTTCAAAGTAAGCATAATCAGAACTGGGTTTTGACTTGAGTTTTGCTTGATGTTAAACCTAGGTTTACAAGTCCCTGGGGTCCAGATGTTCTGAACAGCTGCTGGAGGTAACTCTCAGAATGTTTCCATGTTTTGGCATTTTAATTGGTGGTTTGTTAATGCATATGCAATGGTGGTTTGTGTTGAATGGCTGGCTTGATGATGATGGTGATGGTGTTGCTGTTTATGTGATGGTGGGTGTGTTTTATGTTTATTATGCAGTAGGCAAGGATAGGGAGTGATGCCCTTTTGGTAGTGATTCCTGATCCAGTCACCTGTTTTTCAACGGCGAGATATGCTCAGAAACAAGTCTTCAGAGTTGTTGCAGACTCTAGCAGCTTGCTACTTGTGGACTGGATTACAAGCGGGCGACATGAGAGCGGAGAGAGGTGGGAATTCCAGCTTTACAAGAGCACCAACCAGATACTCTTGGCTGATGACGATGATCGGCCCTTGTTTGTTGACTCGGTAATTCAATCGTTCTCCAAGTTCAGTAATCATCGTATTAGCGATAGCCGATAAGCTAGTCGTGTTTTTTAATGGTGATTTGTGTATCTATAGGTATTGCTGGAACAAGGAAGCATCTCAAGTATCTCAGACCGCATGCTGGACTACCAAGTTATTGCAATGGTCGTAATCTTGGGGTATTAAAGCGATCACCTATATGGGTTCTTCTCCCCTGATGGCTGATGCCATATATTGGATAAACTGTTGTGCTGATAATATGAGCTTCTGTAGGCCTAAGTTGAAGAACATTCAAAACCAAGTCCAAGAAAATGTAAAAAGGTTGATGTCTGACCAACTGCATATGCCTTACTCTGGCGTGAGAGCCAGCAGCAACCATGCCAAACCGAATTCCAGCAGCTCCTTCAACAAGCCGCCACTCGTTGCTTCTTGCAGTCCATTTGGTCCCAAGGTATGTATACCTACTGACCTCGTGGATTCCAACATTGCTCTGAATCTCTCTCTTTCCTTATTCCATGTGGTTTGCTGAGCCTCGCTTCTCTCTATCAATCAACACAGGGTATGGGAGTTGTAGTCAGGATAGCAGCCACAACAACTGAATCAGTGTACAAGTTCTTGAACCATCAACTGAGTGGGATGGAGTCGCTCATTGGCGTCCTACCATATCGTTGAACTTGCTCTTTGCTTTCCTGGTGTGCTTCTGGTGTGTTCGAAAAATCACCAGTTGATTCGTTGTGATCGTATTGTTTGTAAGCGAACTATGAACTTATGTTCCTGTCTGCAAAATGTTGCTGATTTTTCTCTGTAATTTGACTTGACGGTTTAACCGGTCGAATTGTGGAAGTTCTCAATCATTTCCGGTTTTGGATAGTCAAAACATTACCAAAACCTCTCCGTTGCTTTCCCATCTCGTGCTGTCCTTGAGTAAATGGTGATAGAGAGATTCATCAAAGTTCTCCAAATTTTTTGAAGAGCGGATTCTGGTTAGAATGGATTTGACGATTTGTTTTATTAATGCTCTCCTCGAGGTTCACTCATCAATCAGCTCGTAAGATCGACTCGAGCTCTGATATCATATTGTTTAGGTTAGAAGTTTCAATCAGCTCGTAAGATCGACTCGAGCTCTGATATCATATTGTTTAGGTTAGAAGTTTCAACAGTGCACGTAATTTATTTCATAATAATTACTATCTAATTAATTTATATTACATAATTTATCTTTTATATTATAAATGAGACATATTAGCTCGGTCAAAGTTGTAAATATCATATATGTGATGATGCATATAATCTACGAAATTTATGAACTATCAACAAATCAATTCTTTAGCTATCAATTGATTCAATCAAAAGCTCCTAATTGAGGTGTCCCGCTAGTTACACTGTCAAGTCAACTCATAGTTCAAAACGAAATAGCTCACGAATTGGCTTCAACAAGCTACAGAATCGAATTAACTTACGAACAAGTTTAACAAGGTTTAGTTCAAATTCCACTTGTTATTAAACAAAACAATCGCCCGGGCTGGCATACACTGATAACTCGCCAAAGCCCCACCGTTTTGTGGTTAGTAATTCCGTCTTACAATTTTCGCCACAACTAGGGCTGCAAATGAGTCGAGCTGCTCGCGAGCGGCTTGACGTTCGACTCGAGAAAAACTCGTTCGAAACTCGGCTCATTAATAAACGAGTGGAACATGAGCTAAACTTTGTTCAGCTCGTGAAGCTCGCGAGCTAGCTCGACTCGGTGGCTTGTTGAGCTAAACTCGTGAGCTGACTCGTTTAGAGCTCATGATATGTCTCAACATGTGGCTAGAGAGCCAACTCGATTACCGACTTATGGACGAATCAATCTATATCTTACGATTTTAATTCATATATGGTTTTTAAATTATATATCTCGCCATATATAAAGTTTAACACGCTGAGTATGTGAGCAAATATATATTATTTTCTATTCTAAAAAGAAATTATGTATCATAGATTGCTTCTATACTATGAAATAATATGATTTGGAAAAGTTAAAGTTATTAACTAAATGATATATGATACCAACAAAGTATAATATGAGATTAGCTAACAAAATAAATCATATGTATCATGATATACAAAATGAAATACCAAATAAAAGTTAAAATTTTAATAAACAAACTTGCTCGAATTCGATTTGACACGACTCGTTAATAAATGAGCTGAGCTCAAACTCGACTCGTTTATAGACTTGCCGTGGCTAATAAAACAAAAAGGCTAGAGGAAAAAACAAAAGAAAATGACTAATCATCTTTTCCCACATCTCACTCTCACACAGTATCACTCACTCACACTATTTGATAGCCACGGTTTTCTAGAGAAGGTAGGTCCAGCTCGGTTTCCTTTCGGTCGCGGCAGTGGAAACAGCGAGCGAGGGTTTAGTCTTTCCTCGAGCCCTCTTCGCTCTCCCTTATAATCTCGCACCCCGCCCATAGCCAATGGAAGGTCAGGTCCCCAAGAAGCGAGGCCGGAAGCCGAAGCCCAAGGAGGAGAAAGACCACCAACAGCCTCAGCAAGGCAAAATGAAGGAAGGGAAGCGCGGTCAGCACGCTGCTTCGGTTGACGAGAAGTATACTCAGTGGAAGTCTCTGGTCCCTGTGCTCTACGACTGGCTCGCTAACCACAATCTCGTCTGGCCTTCCTTATCTTGCCGGTACTTCCCATATGCTTTCGCCTTTTTTTCTCCCCCCCCCCCCCCCCCCCCCCTCCCCCCTTTTCTAGGGTTTTGGGTTGAGTGGTAGTGGAGTGAAGTGGAGGGAATGTTCGTCGTTTTCGAGTTTAGGGGTTTTTGCCGTTTTGTGCGTTGTTATTAGGGTTCTCGTTTGTCTGATTAGTTAGGTGACAAAGGCGTGATCTTGGTTTGTTATTCCTTTGCTTGTGTTATATCTGTTTGAGTTTTCTTTCTTTTGTTGTGCTTCATTGTTACTGTGGTTGATTAATCTTCTTCTTTTGGGCAGATGGGGTCCTCAGCTTGAGCAAGCTACTTACAAGAATCGTCAGCGCCTGTATCTCTCCGAGCAGGCGAGATCGAGTTCCTCTGTTTTGGGTTTTTTTCTACGGTGAAAGCCGAGATTTTTAGGTAACTTTGCTTTTCTAACAGAGTCTTTTTATTTCTCTCTCTTTGTTTTCATGGCCAGACTGATGGTAGTGTTCCAAACACCCTTGTCATTGCTAATTGTGAGGTTGTCAAGCCTAGAGTCGCTGCTGCTGAGCACATATCTCAGGTGATGTTTACCGTTCTGACTCATGTATTTATCTAGTTTCTGTGTCTTCAGCTATGTCTCGGTATACTGTATGAAAGCCCAAGAAGGTATCCGTGCAGCTGTATAATTGATTAGGTCATACTTATTTTGGTCACAGTTTAATGAGGAAGCACGATCTCCATTTGTGAAGAAATACAAGACCATTATACATCCTGGAGAGGTATGGGTCCAGAAGAAATTATTCATGACGCAACGCATATGTTTCTTTCTTCAGTCCTTCATTATCCACAATTTCACAAATCCATCTTCCATTTCCAGGTGAACAGAATCAGGGAACTTCCGCAGAATAGCAGGATAGTGGCTACTCATACTGACAGCCCTGATGTGAGTGTGCGCTTATATATATTGAATTATGTATAAGGCTTGTTTTTTGTTTGTTTGTTTGTTTGTTAGAGGTCTTATTACTTGTCTGAGAAGCTTGACGTTGCTTATGTAGTTAGTTTCATGTAAACTGTTGAATGCAGGTTCTAATATGGGATGTAGAAACACAGCCAAACCGACACGCAGTCCTTGGAGCTTCAAATTCTCGACCTGATCTGGTAAGGCTTCATACTTAGACCTCACTGCAGGCCTTTAGTCACTTCTCTTTACTTTTTATTTTCACCACATAGTGCTGCTTTGGAGCTTTGCTGTGGGATCAAACACGTGCGTTTCTCCTTCATATGTCTATTCCAAGGGTTCTTTTCCTCTGGAATGGGTTAGTAATTGAGGAAGTAATCATAAAAAAATATTCAGGAATTGAAGTTTAACTTATTTCTCCTCGTTATGGAATGGGCTTCCACCATGAGATTCAGTATTTATTTGCAGGATTAGACATTTACATATCAATCTATGCGGAAAGTTTAAGTGGCCTCTGAGAAGTACAAGTTTCTGGGCTTTTCAGGATATGAAACCACTCTGATACGGGTTTTGTTTCTTTGCAGATATTGACTGGACACCAAGAGAATGCAGAATTTGCTCTGGCAATGTGTCCAACAGAACCCTTTGTGCTATCTGGAGGTTGGTATTTTCTGTCTAGTTCTATAGCTTAAACAAGGACTAATTAGCACTGTTGCACTGATTAGCTTTTGAACGATTTGACCTGTTTTTGTTTTATTGTCTTAGGTACGGATTGGTTTTTGTACTCTCATAGGATTGTTAGGTTGTAACTATATCTATTTATTCAAAAGTTTGAACCGGGAGCTTTCCATGCAGGGAAGGATAAGTCGGTTGTTTTGTGGAGCATCCAGGACCATATCACGTCCTCCGCATCTGACCCAGCCAGCGGAAAGTCTCCAGGATCTGGCGGCGGCTCCATCATTAAAAGGGATGGTAATGATAAAGCTGTTGATGGCCCAACTGTAGGACCAAGAGGGATCTATCAGGGCCACGACGATACAGTCGAAGATGTTGCTTTCTCTCCGTCCAGGTACCTTTCTTGCCTGTGCATGGTAAGGCAGTTTCATTTTACGTAAATAGGGAATATCTTTATAGAATCCCGACTGTCTTTGAATTTGCGTATTTTTTTCTTTTTATAATTCTGTTGGTTTCAGAAGACAGTTAATAGCCATCATGATTAAATTGTTCTATTTGGATATTGCATATTACATTTAAATTGATATAGATTCGATGCTACAAAGCAGATCTTGTGTCTCATTTCCTGAATTTCTCTTCCTGATAAATTTTTTGCATCTGAAGTGCGCAGGAGTTCTGTAGCGTAGGGGATGATTCTTGCCTCATTCTTTGGGATGCTCGAGTTGGCACTAGCCCTGTTATCAAGGTATCCTTCTTTGCGATCTCTTGGATTTTATGTATTTATTTTTTATTGTTGATTAGAATGCTGTTTGGATCACACTTTATGTAGTTCATTTCAGTCATGTTTGTATTGTTTTCTAATGCGCTGATATGCATGGTTCATCCTTTTATAGACATTGCCCCCCTCCATATAAACTAGTCATGGTACTTGTACAAACCCTATCTACTCTTATACACTAGTTATTATATCCTTCCCCCCCCCCCCCCCCCCCCCCTGTCAAGTCATCTGTAAGAAATGGGATGCCCCAGGTCTCTCTGTAAGCAATGTTTCTATTGGCCAGTGAACTTAATTTGCTCTTATGTTGGCCATAAATATGTGGTTTACAGCCAGTATATGTTCGATCTATTGTGTTTAAATTCAAACCTAGAAGTTCAAGTGGGAAGCTTTCGTTTGCAAGAATCTGGAAGATATGTTGTTTATTTTTCTGCTTCTTTTTTATAGTTGTTAAATCATCTGTTTTCTTGATTGTGTTGCATTCTTAGCGCATGTGACCGTGGGTTAGATTTCTCCGGTTGGAGTCACCAAGTTTGGAATGAACCTGCTATGGGCCGTCTGTTGTGATCTTTCCAGAATGTTTTCTCATGTCAGATATACATTTTAAATTGGAGGCAACATAATTTGTCCTTCTGTCTTTTTGCGGGATTTTGTTGGCAGGTTGAAAAAGCTCAAAATGCTGATCTTCACTCTGTTGATTGGAGTCCACATGACAGTAACTTTATTCTGACTGGGTATGCCCTCAAATTTTCTACCACCAGCTGCTGCATATATGTATATAATTTAGTAATCAGTCTACTGCTTTCTTTGATCCTTCTGTCTTTGTTTTCCATCTGCAACTACCCATTTCTCATTTACTGTTATCCAGTTTCATCTTTTGCGTACTTTTGGTCGAGATGTATGTTGTAAGGCGT